AGTGGTAGCAGTTGACATCTGAGTCAGATGACCGCCTGTATTACTTGGGATAAATGCAGGGGGTACCTCTTGAGTTAATAGCCAACAAACATTGGCGAATCAAAAGGTTCAGCCGGCCTCCGCCGCCTGGTACCTTTACTACTCAAGCAGGAGTGACGGCGACTGAGTAACACCAAAGTTAACTCATAGTCACTCTCTCAAACTTAGTATGGAGCCTAAAAGGTATGAGTCGTCCGCCTGTTTTTAGCAAAAAGGGGCTCTCAACCACTACTCCTGCTAGGTTAACAACCTATGAGTTAAAAGCCAACAAACATTGGCGAGTAAAGGGGAACAACCGGTACCCACCGCTTGATACCTCTACTACTCAGTATGAAACTAAAAAGGTGTTCATACAGCACCTGTTCACACTAGATTAAATATGGCGGGGAACAGTCGGCCTAGACGGCCTAAAGTCTCTAGCCTAAAAGCATGACAAGTAGGAAACCACTTTCCTACTTGGTTAATTTTACAAATGACAGGACCGCCTGCCTAAAGGGGATCCAGTCTTTAAAATGGTTCGAATACCGATTGGATAAATGGCCGACTGATCGTCTAGCCTGGAAACAGACAACCAGTCGTCCAGGGGCATAGGCGGCGTGACTAACTATCTGTACCTGTCTGCAACTATCGGCCATGTAAAACAGTCGGTATAGTGTACAATTGGATATCAGAATATTCAATACTTAAACAAATTTGAAGCAAAACAAAAATATTCATTAAAAAGAAGCCGGTCATTAAAGACCGGCAAAATATTCAGAGCCCCGGCCCCCTGGCCGGGTAAATACAAACAAACAGCACGCAGGCCGTGGAAAGAAGACATAAAGCTTAAGAAGGGGGCAGATCTTCAATATTAGCAGTTGCCGCCTGGTCAGCACTCTTCTTGCTGGACTCGGCTTCAGCTGCATCCTTTTTTGATGCATTACCCCCAAGCGGCACAAGCGCCACTACCGGCTGCTCCTCCTCCTCCAACGCCTCTTCCTTAGCAGCCGCCAGGATCTCTTGATTATATCTATCAGAACACTGGCGGTACGTTTTTTCCCATGAGGCAAAGTCGGCATTGGGGAAGAGGCGGCCCCAAGTCATGCGCTGGATTTGAGCAGAGTCTTCCATCATCTCCCGGACCAGCTCTTTCTTTTCTTGCTCGGCCTTTTTCGAGAGCTCCTGAGTAAGACTCTTCTCCTGGGTCACCAGGCGTACCTTTACGCTCGCCAAGGATTTCTCCAAGGTTTCGTATGAGGACATCTTTTGGCGAAGAGGTCTCAGCTCGGCCTTGAGATTGTTGATGGTCGCCTCCAGCTTGCTATTCCTCTTCTGGGCCGCCTCTAACTGAGCCCGGATAGCGGCGGTAGCCTGCGCCTGATAATAAAGAATATCAATGGTCAGAACTTCATTTTGGGCAATTTGAAACATTGCCTTATCACAGTCAGAGGCGGCCATAGCTTTTGCAGCCTTTACCTCTTTGTTCTTTCGGTCAAGCGGCTTGCGAAGGCCGTTCACTCGGAGCAGGGCCTAAGTAAAAGGGGAACAGGCGTCAGTTTCCAAACAAAAAAGAAAACAGGCATCCTGGAATTCAAATACTCAAAAATATGCTAAGTATACCTCAGCAAGGACCCCTGCAATCCCGTCTAGGTCAAGGGTGACGACACCCCTGACCGCCTCCCTTTCAGCTGGAGGAACGGCCTTGATCATAGACTTGGCCACCTCGACCAAGTCAGGCTCCTGAGGGCCGGCTGCATCAAGCATAAATAAACGGATTAGACCTAGTAAAGAAGGGAGCAAGTCTAAAATTTACAAGGACAATTTCATACTTCTAGGTGGCCCAGCTGGAGTTTTAGAAGAAGTGGCCGGCTGTTTCTCAGCCGCCACATGTTTCCTGGCAGAACCAGGAGAGCTCGCAACAGTCGTCCTCCGGGCCTTGGGGTCCGGCTGTTGGGAAGAAGAAGCTCTTGGAGCGCCCGTCTAAAAAAGAAGAAAAGAGTTAGTATATGCATAAACACAACTCCAAAAAGAGGGTGAAAGGTTCGAAGCCCACCAAGGGTGCCCCCTTGTTGGGGGAGTCGGTTGAAGACTGTTGCATGATGGAGGCCCGCAACATGGCCGCCGCAGTCTTGGAGGCGGTAATTTTGCTCATAGCGTCCGCTGCAAAAACAAATAGCAAAGTTAATAAAAGTCATAACAAGAAATGCATGGAACAACAGAGTATTCGACAGGCCGGCTACCTCTTGAGCACCGACTGCTGAGGCCACATGCGGCCAAAAAGTAGTCGTAGAGCCATTTGAAGCTCGGGACGCAGTGCAGGGGTACTTGCTCTCGTACCCCTGAAGTAGAGTTCACCTTCGCCTCTACTTTGAAGAGTCCTTTATCAAGGATCTCTTTCTTAGCCTTGGGGGGAACATGCGGCATGCTACGGCCGCCTGCAAGAAGGGGCGGATTCCTGTTCCACCTATTGAAGCGCTTGTTCTCCTCAATGTCTGAACTCTCAATGATGAGGAAGGTGCTCCGCCAGTCCTTCCATTTGTTTCCTTTACCTCTCGTCATGAGGTAGCCCCTATGGCTCGTCAATTGATAACAGCCGGTACCGCCTGCCTTAGGGGTCCGGCTGAGGTAGTTCATGTGGGCGAAAGCCTCGAAGCTCGGCTCCACCCCGTGCAGTTCGCACCCGGCCACATTGCCGAGTACGTTGACCCAGGAGTTCGGGGCTAACTGCCATAACCCCAACTCATACCCATCCAAGATCCGCTGAACAGCCGGATGTAGTGGGAAGCGCAGCCCAGCCTTGATGGCCGCCTCGTAGCAGCCAAAGCAGGCGCTATCATAACTAGTACCAGCCGGCCAGACGACTGTGTCTTCTGGATCTGCACTAAAAAGCCGGGGCCCATTGTGTGGTTTGCGATAAAGCTCTCCACTTTCTCTTGCATGGCCGTGATCCGGCCCCGAGGTACCGTGCAGTAGTAGGGGGTATTTTGCTCTCGGTGAGAGGCGGATGGCTCCGCCCAATCGTCCCCCTTCTCAACTGCGTGAGAAAGCCTCGCCTCTTGCAGGCGACTGTTTTTCTCTTCTGTGTCCAGAGAAGCATGGCCAGAAGAGCTAGACTCGGAATCGTCCTCTGACGAGTCCGAAGAGGACGACTCCTCCCCTCTCCCGGAGGGGCCCGCCTCCTCTCCTTTAAAAGGAGCAGGAGAGAATGAAGAATTGTCAACTGTAAATTGGGAAGGGGTCACTTTGACTCCTCCCTCAGAACTGCCGGCTTTCAAGCCGCTTTGTTTCACTTCCACATCTGGCGCCTGGTCAGATGTTTCACTAATCGGCACCCTGTGGGAGGAGCCGTCTGAGTTTGAGATCCTGGCAGTCTTTTTTGTTCTGGCCATCATGCTCTGCATAGACACAGATACAGTCGGACTTTGTATAAAGGGCAAAGGGCAGGCGGCACTCCTAGTCCTAGATTCAGCCGTCCCCGGTGACCGGCTTATCACTAACCTAGGTCGTGTCGTGTGCTTCCGTGGTGCCATTTCAAAAAAGAATAAAGTAAAGAGAAAATTAAGAGTAAGAGAACCGACGGTTACCTGAACGAGTGACGATTGATGAAGTTCTGAAAATCCTTTGCAGTCGGCTTGTCAGAGCAGGCGGTAGGCAGAAAGGGTCCAAAATGTCAGAGCAAGTTCAGGGGTTCGAATGTTCTCTCACAAAGTTTTCAAGTGTGAAAATGACCGAAGTCAACACTCCTTTATATAGGCGAAGTGAGAAGGCGAAGGGCCACTTCCAGAATTCAAAATTTTGGCGGGAGAATCTCTCGGCCTCTCGCCGAGTGACACCTGTAGCAGGTCGTCGCCTGTTACAGGGCGATACCTGTCACAGGTAACACGTGACCAGTCACGTGCCACCTGTGAGGGGCAAATGATTAGGGGATTTTTCCCCACCAATCACCATCTGACAAGTGGACCAATCAGGTTCCGCCATGTGTCCGTCACATGGGCCAATAGGAGCCTGCCACGTGTCAAGCAATGATCCGTCCACCATGGACCAATTACGACACGACACGTGTCCTTCCCATGACACCTGGGATAACCGGTCACCTAGGCCCAACTCCCGAGGGAAGCCCAATCAGCCCAAGGTTAACCTAAACCTAGATTGACACGTTTCCCGAGGTTATAAATACCTCCCTTAATCCTCATTAAGGGAGATTACATGCAAAACAAACAAAAAACGCAGATTACTCACATTAAACACTCTCACCTAGAGAGACCCAATCACTTTAATTTCCGCATTAATTACTCCTTAATCAAGTACTAACTTGACCGTCGGAGGCGGATCTCCAATCATCCGGAGCATCCGTTCGTTTTGCAGGTACAGGCGTCCGGTTCCAGTCTCGGAATTGTAACTCTCCCACAGGACATCAGAAAACCCCGAAACACGGTCTAAATTCATTTTATCTTTTTCTTAAGCATTAAGCACGTGATAATTAGTCGCCGTTTAAGCTATTTCAGATTTATTTCAGGCTTAGGGTTTTATTATTTACTAATCGGGCTTAATTAATAAATAAAACATAATGCATTAAAATGGTTTGGGTTGAAATATGGGTTGGACTAAGTTTGAATAAATGTTTAGACTGATTTGTAAATTGAATATGTTTGACTGAATATGGGTTTTAAGCACTCCCGAGATTAAATAATCGACCCGACCAATAATGGCGGTGAAAGGTTGTTCATCATCGGGCGTGGTTTTGGGGAGACATTTTTAGGTGTCTACATATCCAAATCCGACCCGTTGCCATCCCTAGTTGTTAGCTGTGAAGATAAATAATTTAGGTATGAGTGTTCGATAAAGTAGCGATTGAATAACTGTTACATATAACAACTACCTTTAACTTCAAGAGCCTATATTTCTAACTTTTGAAAAAAGTTACTTTCACCACTAAAAGTTACCTCAACCACTACATTGCAAAAAACTCATATTTTTTTGTTAAGTAGTGGTTTAACCAGTCTAACCACTAAAAGCTATTGCTACTTTAACATAACTACATAACTATCATCTATTACCACAACTAATACATACCTCCTAATTATATTTTGCCGAACATAGCCTTCAACTCACTCTCACCATTAAAATAATACAGAGTAATAATACTATTTAAATAAATAAAAAAAATGACGTGGCACCCTAAATATCAGTTCAACCCCTTCACCCTTCCTTTGGCAAATTGCCAGCCACAAACACACACCCTCCACTCTCTTCCTCCACTGATCAACCTTCAACCATGGCTGACCTCAGCCGCATTTCCACCGCCCTCTGCCACCTTTCTCCGCCTCTCCTCCACACTCACTCCTACCACATCTCCGCCGCCGCCGCCGCCTCCGCCGCAGCTCAGCTACAATTCGACTACGACGACGACTTCAACCCAACTTCCCCGTCTCCTACACCTGCTACTGCGCTCGGATCCGATGCTTCTAGACCTTTCAGAGGTGTACATTGGGTCTTCATTGGTAATCCCTACGCTAAGAAGCATATTTATGCCGACATGATCTCGAAGCTTCTCCATGTTCCTCGTATTTCCATCTCTACTCTTCTTCGTCAAGATCTTAACCCTCATTCTCCCCTCTATAAACAGGTTCACTCTTCTCTTATATTTTTTTTTGGAATTGATTTTATGTGATTATTGTGAATGAATGTTGGTGTTGTTATTATTGCAGAAGAATATTGTTAATTATACATGCTAATCATTTTATTTGGAATAATCAATGATTAGGAATCTCGCTTAATGACCTAATTACTTAGATTTTATATAAGTATATCGTAACATTCTCGAATTATTTGCACACTGAATGTGAAATGATGTTAAATTGATTTGATTAACGAACTATCGAACTTATTTATGAGGGTAATTATGTACGGAGCAACTATAGGCATTTACGTTTACTATATCAGTGAATGTGTGACAAAAGTATGTGTCAATTGGTGTCGTTAATGTTTTATTTCGATTAGGATTAAGGAATAAAAACTCCTTTTATGTCCTACTTTTAACTAAAGAGGCCAACATTTTTGTTTTATGGCATGATGTAATTGTTACGCACAATACACTAGCTTCAAAATTTCTAGGTGTAGTGTGTCATGTGAAAATTTTCCCTGGCTTAGAATTTGGTAAATATTGGGATAGTAATTCTATGTATATTTTGTATGAGAGAATTTGATTGTTGAAATGTTAATTGGTGCAAATATAACATAAATACAAGCTAATCATTTTTTCCTTAGACTAGATTGGATTCTTTGAAAGAGGTTTTTCAGACTATATACGTAGTATATCATGTTTTCTTGAGTCGTAGCAACATTGGAACGCCAAAATTCGAGCTTACTCTGTAAATTCTCTGTTTCGTTACCCAAAGAGCTATGAACTAGTATAGGGGAAAAGGTTTAGAAGTAAACTTAAAGATTAATTAGTTTGGTTATAATACTTGCTATTGGACAAAGTTATAAATTAGAATATATTACTTGCAAGGAGAATAATACATTTCAGTATTATTGCTGTGATAAAAAGGAAGGAAAAATGAAGAAGTGAAAAGCTTATGCCTAAAAATTAAGGATATGGAGGTTCCACTTCCACTCTGTTTTAATACAATGAACATACCTACATACATACGTACTCCCTTCATCTCTAATTAATTACTCCTTCTGTATTTTATTATTTGCTCCATTTCTCCATGCGTTGAGTTTTAGGAGAAATAGTAGAAAGTAATAAAATATGAAGAAAGTGGGGTTGGTAGAAGAACAAAGTATGATAGTTAGGAGGAGAGAGAATATAATAATATTAAAGTATGATAGTTGGAGGTCCACTAGGAGAGAAGAAGTTAGTAAAATATTATAAAAGGTTTCCAAAAAGGAAATGGAACAAGTTCTAAAATACGGCCGCAAAAGGAAAGTGGAGCAGGTAATAAAATACGGAGGGAATAATAGACATTTCTATTTTGGATTGCTCCAAATAATGACCCACTTTCTAAGTTTAGGTCGCAAAACTTACTACTTGCCCATATCACCCTTAATGATAACCTTAAATTAAGACTACCTTGTGGCATGTCAAAGCTGTGAATCTTACAAGAAGGAAAATTATGGTATTTCAACTCAATTTCTTAAAATTGAGCTTCAATCAAATGTGGCCTATAATTTCAAGATTGATGAAGTATTTATAAAATAAAAAATATTGCCTACCAAATGTGCCTTCTATATGATAGTGTGCTTATGGGATTCATCTTTGTTTGATTGGATGAAGATGATCATATTATGTTGATAGATTGGTGGACAACTGTATTATTTCTCTTTTTTATTTACATAATGCAATTTCACTTGCAATGAAGGCAAGAGTGGCCATACATAGAAAATGGATAGCACTCCTTCCCTCCCTTTCTCATTCAATTTTACATAATCCCTTAGATAGTTAGATTACCACATAAACTCATCATCTATCTTTGTTATGTCTCACTGCTCCCAAATCAAAGTGTGCCTTTAGGAAATTATTTCTCAACCTTAGGAAAAAAAAATGTTTCTTAGCTCCCTTTGTCTCCAAATAAAAGCCTCATTGTTCTGAACACACAGCTTTAAGAGATAAATTATAGTGGGGTATTGTCGATTAAAGTTGAATATATAACGTAGTGGAAATAATTATTGTTTTCAGGCCAGTAATGCCAATAAGAAATATATATTGAGTTTTGAGAGGTTTTGTTGTATGAAATTGAATCAAAAAAAGAAATTAGTGAACCCCACCCAAATGAGAAATGGGGCTTTATATATGAACAAGAATTCTAGGGCTTTAGTTTAGGGACTGAGGGAGTATTTATGTATTTTGAAGATTCGAATAGCAATATAACCAGAATAGAAATCTCTTTTTACCTTACCAATAGTCCACCACGGCCTTAAAAGTGATACAGTTTCTTTCTAGGTCATGGGATCTGGAAAAGTTTCATTCTTACCTGATAGTTCTTTAAACAGAGCTTTCACTTCTTTGATATTTAAAGTAAATCCATCCCAAATTATATTATACTATTTCCAGAATTATTGTTAATTTATTATGCCAAGAATTTTATATGTTCTTACGATTATAAGCTGTTGCACTCGTAAGAGTCGTAACTAAGCCATAGGGAGTCACTTGTTCTATAGACCTGTTAATAGTTTACATTCTGTAATAAAGAATCAAAATTGTTCTGAATCTGTCAATGCTGGCTGCAGCCGGATGCTTGCATGATTATAATGAAAATGGTACTGTAGAATTCCTCTAGCTGGAGTGCCTATTTTATGTGATTTATTGCAGGGGTTTCTCAGATTTTGTATTTGTTGTCCGTTACAATAGATTGCTGAGGCAGTTAACCGTGGGAAGCTTGTTCCTGAGAGCATAATTTTTGGCTTGCTGTTAAAAAGACTCGAAGATGGACATTACAGAGGTGAAAATGGGTTTATTTTGGATGGCATTCCTCGAACACGCCTTCAGGCTGTAAGATTGTTTACCATCTGCAAACTTCAATTTTAATTTGCCTAATTTCTGACCGATATCATATGATCACATGCATAAACTAGTTAAATCCTTTTGGAAGTATGTACTTATCATCATGTGAGGTTTTGTTCTTGTTTTGAGGGTAATATTAGTAGTTTGGGGCGGAATGCTCCCAGTCTTAGTTTATATTTATTGTTGCTAAATTCATCCCCCCTCCCCCCCTCCCTACTTCTTCAAGGATATGGCGTTGTAATTTTTTTTAAAGTAGTTTGATGTGGAGTGCTATATTGGTACTGTTAATTTCAAAGTTGGGAGGAGGAGTAATTATTACCAATTGATTTTTGATAGTGTGTGATCCTTGTATTGTAGGAGATCCTTGACCAACTAGTTGATATCGACCTAGTTGTGAATTTTAAATGCTCCGAAGACCATCTTAAATCAGCTGGTTCTCCTGCTGATTCTACTGTACCTCGTGAAAGAACCAAATCCAGTTTCTCAAATTTTAACAAGGATACTGAAGATTCTCAGCCAAAGGTCTCTGCATTCTACAGAGAGCAGGTGATTTTCAAGTTTGATTGGTTTTACATGTATGAATACAGATTTGAATACAGATTGCTGGAGAGTGTGCTTTGCGCATATTTTAGGATGATTTGCTTGGTTTTACCTACAAAATCCAGACTATTGTTTTGTATTTGTCTGGAGCCGTGAGAAGCTCATGGTTTCTGGAGACATGTACTAACAAATGTTGTTTCCTTATGCCAGATGCAATATCTGGAGGACTACTACCAGAGCCAGAAGAAGCTTATTGACTTTCAAGTGGGAAAGGCACCAGGAGAAACTTGGAAAGGACTACTAGCTGCACTGCATCTGCCGCATACCAATGCTGTTCATTCTTCAAGAACACTGACTATGGGTTTCAGAGTACCTTGAATATTTGAGACTTTAAGCTCTGCTGCAACTTTTGTAAATATGATGATTATAGCCTCTAAAGCCTCTATTTCGAAGCTAAGAAAGTAAGAAGCAGTATAGAAACTAACTATGTTTCTCATTTTGACTAGATACTGGTTGCGAATAGTCATTAATTTTGATAGTGGATAGGCATTGTTTAAAAAAAAACCCAAAGGAAAAAATTATGTGCGTAGATGGCTAAATGTACATGCTTTAAAGCAGTTCCAGTTTCTCTCTTATATTACATACTCGAGATCACATAACATGTGGATAGCAAAACTTGTAAAATAAGAGTCTGGAATACTGTTGCAGGCTTAAAATGGTACACATTTACAGGGAATAGATGATGATAATAATATGTGCTTTGCTCTGCTCTAGAGATATATGTTTGTTGATGCCTAAACATGACATTTTGAAATTATACACCAGTATCAATACAGGAAGAAACTCACGGTTGTGCCATGGAACCAATTTTTTGGTCACCATCTGCTGTTGCTTGAACCTGAGCTGCATACTGTAGATTCCAAAGCACATCCTCAAAAGAAGGACGTGTTGATGATTCGGAAGAAACACATTTGTTGGTTATTGAGATGACTGTCGTCAATGATTCCTTCGAGGAAGTTGACAATACAATAGGGTCTATGACTCTTCTCTGACCTTCCTCACTACCAAACGATGCCTGTGAAGTTGAAAGACTCATGTTAGTAAAGTGCTGCAAATAAGAATACAATAATTTTCCTCCATAAAATGTTCCCTACATAATTCAGAAACACAAAACACCCAAAATATACTGTTAGTTACTTAAAACTGAAACTGTCACTTAGAATGGACTTAAATCCAATCTCTAAGATCTGCTGTCATCTCTACATTGTGGTTTATATACCATCAGCAACAGGATTAAGGGTTTACCATTTCAGTTAGCAGAACTGCCTTCTTCTTAGCGGCCACCGACGGACCAATGAGGGATTCTAGTAGTATAAATCCGAAGCAATAAATGTCATCCTCGATAATTTTCATTTGCCTGCAGTACAAAGAGGAGAAGTAACTAAAGACTTGTACATGAATTGAGTAGGCAATCAAGATGGACTAATGGCGGGATAGTTCTTTCTTACCATGACTTAGCAGCAGCTTTTCCCTGTGAATTAAAGGACAAAGTATATTATAATCAACCACTCGAATTGGAAAAACTATTGAGAGATTCACATGAATTGTCAAAATAATCTCACCCCAAATTCATCATCGTCATAGATGATTGACAGTCCATAATCACTTAACTTTGCCCTTCGATGCTCATCAATCAAGATATTATTGGTTCTCAGTCGATTGTTGAAGAAACCCGGAATGATTCCTGTGTGAAGGAACTGCACAGCCTTGGCAATATCAATAAGAATTACCAATCTCTCGGGCCATTTGAGTGCTCTTACTTGACCAAGATCTGAAATCATGGCATTTGCTACATAGTTAATTGCAACAAAAGCCTAGGGTATCAAAGCTATAGGACATCAATGAAGTTGCTTTTGCTTTGAGACTAACCAGAAAGATGGGAGCGTAAATTTCCATTAGGCACATATTCATATATAAGATAGACCTTGTTACCACTAGAATCAGCCTTTGCTCCAGTGTCAATGCAGTGACCCAGAAGGCAAACCAAATGTGGGTGGCGAAGCTTTGCCAAAAGGTCCAACCGAAGCTTGAGATTACGAGTGGTGTATTTATTTGACAGTGATAGGCACCTTACAGCTACTAAGGTTTTACTCTGTAATGTTCCTTGATACATCTGAGAAATAAAGTAGAGCAGGTTAGGCAGACTCAAAAATTGTGATGTTATCCAAATGGAAAAACATGTTCATGAGTGTTCAGGAAATGGCAACCTATATCTATTTCAAAAAAATTAACAAAAAAGAGCAACGAAAAGGAAAATTTACATCATCATCATCTACTTTAATCCTTAAGTACCCTACGGCTGTGTTTACTGCAGCTACAACAACAAAAAAAACAGACGCTATGGCTGTGTTTGACCCAAAGAAAGTAAAAATACAAGTATATGAATTGAATTATCTTCTACAGAAATGCTATTTCACGGGATTCATTTTTAAAACTTCATTTTGTTTTGTGTGGCTCCGTAATGTAGTATATTAGGAAATGAAGAAGAAAGATGGAAGAGAGGAGAAAAGGGTGATGAAAAAATATTCTCTCTGTCTGTAAATAAAAAAATAAAAAATAAAAAAAGCTTTTTTGCTCCTCCCTTGAAATATCTTTTCCATCTTTTTGATTAAATATTTTCGACCAAAGAAAATTATTTTCACCCCTAAAGATTTGAGGAGGGGGGGGGGGGGTTAAGTTTCAACCGAACACCGCCCAAATTACAGATTGACAAGAGTTTCTTTCTTTTAGCTACATCCAATGAAAAATATGGTTCCATATAGTTCTGATGTGAGCATGGGACATTGGGATTTGAGTGAATGAAAAACGCATGAAGTTGTGACAGTACACTATACCTTGCCCCTAGCACCTTCCCCCATCAGGGCAGATTTATCGAAGTTCATGGTAGCTTCTTTCAGCTCTTCCATGGAAAATGTTCGACATGCTGGGATTCCTTGTGTGCCAGATTTAGAAACTTCAGATATATATCCTGAACAACGAGGCAAATATAAACACCAGAAACATTTGAATATTCTAAAAGGAACACAAAACTCAATTACGGACATACTTGCATTTGCTAGTATCTCAGAGGTCACCCCAGTTACACTGTTTTCCTGAACTTGCTTCTGCAACAAACTCTGTTCTTGACAGCCTCTTGGGCAGTATTTTCTATAAATCACCAGGATTCCAAAAGCCAGAAGTCCTACCACTGCAACAATTCCTCCAATCACACCAACTAAAGCTAATGCACTTTTGGCTGAGTAGTTGTTTTTCTTTTGCTGCATCTTGGCACAATATGACTCCGGATGCTGGTTTACTCCACCGGCTGTCAAACAATTTCCATAAAATTGAGCAGTAATTTTGTTTAAACACCAGGGAATCTCGCCGATTAATCTGTTGTTCGACAAGTCAGCAAACTCGAGTTTCTTGCCACATGCCAAATGAATGGGGAGTGATCCACTCAACTCATTTGATGCTAAATTCAGGTAACTAATGTTAGGCAAGGAGAAAAGAATGGTGGGTAGTCTTCCTTGAAGATGGTTCAGTGACAAATCAAGGTGCTGCAAGTGGTTCAGTTTCCTAAATTCCTGCGGTATCTCACCAGTAAAGGAGTTGTTATTCAGCAATGCCATGAATAAAGCTCCAGGCAATTTGGGTAGTTCCGAGTCCAGTTCATTCCAACTCAAATCCAACATTTTTAAGCCACTTAAACTACTCAAATCAGGCAAACCCCCAGAAATCTTGTTATTTGACAATGCAAGAGTACTGAGAGTCCTGATTTTCCTAATTGAAGCAGGAAATGGACCCTTCAAGTGATTATCTGACAAGCTTAGGATCGAAAGATTGGATAGCGAATGCAACCAATCCGGAACACTCTCATTGAAGAAGTTACCATCAAGTCTTAGTGTTTGAAGCTTCACCATTGTGGCAATCCTTGGTGGAACAGAACCATACAAAAAATTTGAACTAAGGTCAAGAAACTCCAAAGAAGATAGCCTGTTAATTTTATCCGGAAGCGGACCCCATATGCCCAAAGACACCAAGCTAAGAGCTCTCAAGCTAGTAAGCCTTGCTAAAGTTGCAACAAAGGAATCCATTGAAAATCTATCTGATAAGGTCAGATTTGGAATTGCATACCCAACAAATTTGCCTACTTTGAAAGGCTTACTACCCATAATCCTAAGCTCAGTAACAACATCTACTTCACAAGTGACATTAATTTTTGTCGACGGAGACATGAAACATACATTAGCATTATTATCATTCCACACTGCCAATTCATCAGGGTACTCTAAATGCTTTCTTAATTGCATAAGCACCTGAATTTGCGAGGATTGCAACTGAGAAGTACCAACTATGCAGAAACTCAATGAGACTGAGATTATTAAATACAAGCTCCAATAACCCATTCTCATTTAAATAAACCCACAAAACTAACCAATTTCTTGTTGGGTTAAGATGCAATCATCAAAAAAACCTGCCCATCAACCAAAAAAAAATCGAAAATAAAAAAAATTTAACAACATAATGCTTATTTAATTCCAACCATAAACACCCTTTTGCTAAAACAAACAATACCAACATTCCGTCAAACAAATCAAGTGAAACAGCCAACGACCAAATTACCGATTTTTGTAATATCAAGCAAAAGGGAAAACAAAAGCAAAAGAGATAAAAATCTTGGAATTTATGGGGTTACCTCAAATCATTGTAGTGCTTGAGCATGGAAGTTTCTTTTACCACTTTAAGAGACTGCAAACTTGAAAAGTCAAGCAGAATTCATTGAGTGGGGTATTTTTCTCTTTATCTCTCTGATTGAGCAAGTAGAAGAAGTGGCAGGGCAGTAGATAGAAACAACAGCTTGAAAGAGAGTGACAGTACAGTTTACTGTAAACCAAGCATGGTGGTGAAAGGATGAAATGTTTTACAATAAAATTAACAGGGAATCTGTTCTTGTCATTTTCCATAGTTTTGTTTTCTGGGATTTTTTTGGGTTTTATTTAAGAGATTTTGTGTTATAAAAAGAATATAAAGTTTAATTTGGCTTTAATGAAGTTTGCTAATTGTGTGATTCCAAAAGATAGATTGCATTTCTTTAATTGTTTGTGGGGTTTACATGTTTAATTCTCTTGGAACTTGGAAATAATGAAGAATCAGGTACTCTTCCAGGCTGTCTTGAATTCACAAAATAAGAAAATTAGCCCTCTAGCTGTTAAAAATAGGTGAGGAAATGACTAACCCTTGAATGAGTTGAATCAGTGACGTTTTTTTGCCCATGCATTTGTGCTCCAACTTTTACTTTTGTTTGTTTTTGAAATGTGGGTTGGTTGACCTGATTTAGAACCAACTTAAAATTATTGGGTTTTAAACAGGGAATTTAGGTCTTAAAACTCAAATACTCTCTCGTATGATCTAGCTTTGAAAGATACAAAATGAGTCAAATCTTAACAAAAGGGTAACTCCCTGACCATTTGAGTCCTTGAATCTATAACCTCTAATAATATGTATACTAGAGTAGTATTCTATGTACACGATGCATGCCAAGATTTTCATAACAAAATTACATTAATCAATATGGTGAGACATAAATAAATCCAAAATCAACTAAATTTTTTTAAATAAAAACCGGGTGCAAGATCCACCCAAGAGTATAATCTGCTCAAAATGAGCAAAAGTATAAAAATCAAATGAGTAAAAATAAAAAGTACCCTTAGGTACACGTACCTCTATATGCACCCGAATGTATATAAAAGAAATCAATAACTTATACTTAAAAACATTATATATAGATATTTCAAGAAATAATACGGAATATCTTGAATTTTATATGCTTATGCGTTTATGAGCATATTAGTACAAGTATAATTTACAACTCCGTAATATTAATTAGTGAAAAATTATACGATGTATTTGAAGGATTACAAATTTACAATACCTACATATTCTATAAAACATTAATTATACATTTATACTCTTTGGCAAGCAAAACATATTATCAATTGAATATGAACGCAATCAAATGAGATTAATGACAATTACTGAGTACTTTATATGTTGTCACGTATATAGTCTTTTCAAAAAGAGTGGAAAAAAAAAGATGTGCGTGAATGTGATAATCAATCACCAAGCCATGTTATAGAGTAGTTCATATCCTTTAATATTTTAGTAAGTTTATTTATTTTTATTTTTTTATTTTTTTTATAACGACCCAAAAAGGTTACTAGCTCCCAACTGACTCGATACTACAATAAGATAATTTGACTCTCTTAACCATACTAATACAAGTGCTAAAAGGGGATTGGGGGTACAAACATTGTGAATTTCTTGAAAATATAAAAGAGGGGGTTCGAGGGGACTCATCACTAGTACTAGCCATAAGATGTTCCACACATGATCCCTTGTGTTTTTTGATCCTGCAAAAACAAACCCTGTTATACCTTTTACCTTTCTTGTTCTTCACCCTTGACCTGATTAGCCTTCCATGCTTCCTTGACAAGGGTGGTGGAAAGGACTGCACCTGGCCTGGTTCAAAACTCAAAGGGTCTTTTTCATTAGAACCTACAGATTCCACTTCATCGATGTCAGTGGTAGTTAAAACTCTCGCAGGTTCCTCATTCCCCTCCTCGATACTTGAACCCTCATTGCTGCTAGAAGTTAGGCAAATAGATATATGATCATCTAGCTTCTCAAGGGCAGCAGTGTTGGACTTGGGAAGCCCAACAACACCATTGACCACAACGGCATCCATAAATCGCATGGCCTTTTCCTTTTGGCACTTCCTGACGCGATTCCTCTTTTCTGGGGACACTATCTTAGTGGGCATGAACAAGGTTACAGGAACTTTGGAGTCCTTTGCCTTTGATTGAGATCTGCGTAAGACAAATCGGAAATTTTAAGGGACTGATTAATTCTTAATCTGTTGAAGTAGATGTGGGTTCTCCCCGATCCCTTGTCCTTTTCCTGTCTAGAATCTTGAAAGTTAGGGGGCCTAGTGCCATCATCATCCCCCTTAAGGCTCTCTACCATCATCTCAATAGCAGCATCCATGGTGGTTAAGCTTGTAACACCACTCTCAACATCGCTGCTAGGCAACCTGTTAGATTCTAGATTGACAGGAGGCATGCTAATCTTTCCCTTTTTGTTGAAAAAGGCGTGGGACAGGCTTGTAATACCCCGTATTTTTGAGACATATTTTCTAATTAATTAATTATTATTTTTAAAAAGGGTATTTTAGTAAATTATTTTTCATTTGAATTTCGGAGCCAAAATGATATTTGAATTTTGGCGCAAAAAAACATTTCAAAACTCAATTATTATTTTGGATAAGATTTATTATCCATTTATTTTATTTTAAAAACTAAATTATATATATATATATATATATATATATATATATATATATATATATATATATATATATATATATATATATTGGATATTTTAATTAAGCAAAAATTATATTTTTTCCATTTATTTTAAAAGAGCCGAATTTCCTAATTATTTAGCTAAGAGTTTCGGATTTTCTAAGTGTAGACAAATCGGATTTTCTTAGTTAGTTTAATTAGTTATTAATTGATATTTTTCTAATTAATTATTTTCTACAAAAAATATTATTTAGACAATAATTTTTAATCCTTAAAATCTAGCAAAATAATTCCTAAAAACTAGCATTGGGGTCCGAAAATATGAGCTTAGGAAAGCTCAAAATTTTCGGCCACCATATGATATTTTGAGCAAAGTATTTTGGTAATTTAGTATTTTAATTATCTTTCTTAAATTCTATTATTTCCTTAATTTCTATCTTCCATCTCACAAAGATTAGATCATCTTATTTATTTACCTTAAACCTTTCTTGATTATTCCCCAAACAAAGCCTACTTACCATTTTATATTTCATGATCAAGCACTTTCCTTATTATTCATTTCTTAATCACCATAAACTACATTTTCCTAAATTCTTTAACTCTCTTTTCCAAGTAATTCCTTAAACTAAAATTACCATAATTCTTCCTACAAAATCTTACCTTAATTCTTTCATTCATGAGCCTATAAATTCCCCCTCATACCTCTCATATTCTTCACACCAAAACTCAATTCTCTTCTTTTCTCTTACTCTTCTTTTCCCTCAACCTTTTCCTACTTTTCTTCTCCTCTTTTCTAAAAGAAAATTAGCTCGAATACTTTTTGAGCCAGTTTTCGGACACTTCTGTTAAGTTTTGGGGTTTTTCTATTTCACAGAAGATTGTTCCTCTCAAAAAATCAATGAGGTTAGGCTCAAGAATCACCCAATTCGGAGTTATATTGAAAGAGTTATAGCCTCTGCAAATTCTGCCTATTCTTTCCAACGCAAATGCAATTCTCTTTAATTTTATTCCGTTATTTTCTTATGGTTATTAGTTTTCTATAATATAAATACCTATTTCAAAGCTATAATTTTATATTAAAGTATTATTTTTAAAAGAGTTTTATAATCCATGCACATTAGATTTGGGTTTATGTCTAAAGATGTTATGATAACATTATGGTTATGCTAATTGCAAGGTTTATACGTGATTGGACTTTGAAAGTGCGAGGTGCTGATTAAGATTCAGAATCAAGGTACATTTAGGTGGCTAGATACCTTTGAAAGTGATTGGTTTGAATAGAACGTTTTATATAATTTTATTGGTGATTGAATTAAATTGATTTGAATTATGATTTATGAAATAAAGTATGTTTGGAGGTATTGATTTTAATATATGTTTTATATTTGAAGGATTGATTTCAATATCATGTTTTGAATGGTTTCAATTACTTAACATGTTTAAATAAAGGAATTAATTTGAAAGCTTGTTGAATAATTAAATAAAAGGTTTTGATCTTGAAAGGAAGAGTTATTGATTTTTGAAAAGCTATTAATATGAAATTTAATTCTCAAGTATTTATTAAAGGATGATTTTAAAAGCATGTTAAATTAAATAATAAGGATTTTTGAATTACTTTATTATAAAGGTTGATATTATTCAACGGAGGAATTTTTTTGAGGATTTATTGAATTATTTATCAAAGCTTTACAAGCATGATTATATTAATCCCACTATGCGGGTTTGGTTGATAAGACTTTGGATTTTGTATGACAGAGTCTTTTCTCAAGGATAGCCTTTCAATATAAAGATACTAACTTGGGGGGTGTGCACACTTAGGAGAGGAATTGAGTTTTAAAAAGGAATTAGTTTTTATCACTTGAATTATTATTCAAATTATTATTAACCTATTGGAATTATTTTGAGAATCTTGATAATTGGTTTTGAATTATAAGGTTTGAGTTATTGAAATAAATATTGGAATTTCATGATTGGTTTTAAAATCATGTTTGCTAATAAATTGAGTTTACTTATCTTGCACTTATCGTATATAGCATATTTTTCTAATTTGTATTTCCTATTTATTTTGGTTTTCCCTGTTTACCTTAATGGTAAGCAGTGTTGACTATTTTCAGGATGAGTCATGAATGAGCATGTGGGAGTCCTAGGATTTGCTTCACCTAGTTTAGGAATGTTGGTTTTGTCTTTATTTTGAGTACTCATAACAATGTTACTATTTTTATAAGTATTAATAAAAGAAAGTTGAGTTTTCTGTTGGGTTTTGCGGGTGTCTGACACCGTGCGGAAACAAAACCCGGAAACCGGATCACATGCATAATAATTACAACATAAATAAAATCATGCAAATAAACAAAACACGAACACATAAAGAGAAGAGAGAGAAAGAAACTCACCCTAGATGCGTGCTTTACTCACTCAATGAGCTCAGACTTGAAAGCTTCAAGCTCCGCAAGTGTAAAACCTCCAACGACTCACACGCTCGCTCACCGAACTGGAATTGGCCCCTACCCTGTAGCTTAAACGGGGCTAGACCAAAAATAACTTAAAGTTTACGAACTAAGGTTTTCTCGCTTTTGGAGATCCCTTAGAGTTCACCAACTTAAGTGGATTTCCCAATACCCAATGATTGGTATTTATAGGGAATTGTTCCCAAGAATTCCCATCATCTTTCAATGTGGGATAGTTGGTAAAATGCCAAAAGAAAGAATTAATTTAATTCTAAATTAAATTAAAATGGAAAGGCAATCATCAAACAACAAGTGGCACAAGGAGAGCATGGGGTTAGGTGAGGACCACAAGGGGGAGGTCCACCTTCCCCTTGCTCCCCAAGAAAACCCCCTTCCACAAAATCAGTGCAATAGGAGGCAGCCAGCTGGCAGCTCGCCTTGGGCACGAAGTCAGCCATGCTGGCGCCTGGTCCCTCGGCTGGGCCTGCCCAGCTGGGCCTTGCCGCATCAGCCCGCAACAGCAAGCCACGCATATGCGGACTGCTTGTTGTTGGGCGCTGCTGCTGCAATAGCCTCCCTCGCCAGCCCGCTCAAGTTTCTGTGTGATGCAGGGTGCTGCTGCTATTGTTGGGTAAGCAGCCCAGGCTAGCTAACAAAAGCAGTAGCCAGCGAGGCCCAGCGCGCTAGCGTGCGACTAGCCTTGCTAGCACTGCTAGCACGCGAGCTCGACCAACTAGCTCCAGCCAGCATGCGCATAGGCTTCCGGGCTTGCGGCCTTGCTAGCGTTTAGGCTAGTAGCCCTATATAGCCTAGCCCTTGCTTGGCTAGGCCAATGCGAGGTTACGACTATATATTGACTTGTTGTTTGACTGATTT